AACACAAGAATCAATGGTGGGAACAACCTTGTCCATCCAACTTGGGGGGCTGTCCAATGACACCTCTCTGGTGTCTGTGAGAGGTGCCTCCAACAGACCTATTCGAAATGGAAGATAGGATGTCTCCAGGCCCTTCCCTGTGATGCTGAGAACACAGCGGGACAATCCACGGAGCCCTGTTTACAAGAGAGGACTCAGCCAGCTGAATAGTCCCTGTGAGAATTCACTGGTGCCTGACCTTCCTAGGGAAACGTTTCCATCTCATCCAAGGCAGCAGTAGGACTTACACCTAAGATGCGGGGCATGCCCGGGACAGAGTATTAACTTACTGTCTTGTACTTTCATGACCTGTGGTCCAAGTGGACTAACACATGCTGTCATCAGAGTGGGTGCCAGGGGCTCCTCCCTGCTCACCGCTTTCTTTCAGATTCCCAGGGTGCATGAGGCCCTCACTAAATATCTGTCACCCTACCGTTTGGAGGTTTGCAGAAACTGGGCTCAAGGGACATTGCCACAGCATGGAGAGTCCCAAATCTCTCTTGCTCTTTGAGGGAACTTTCTGAGATCACTTCCTCAAGCTTCCCTCTACATTCTCAATCATGTGCCGCAGTCCTGTCTATTTTTCCCCAAATTCCTATAAACTTGAAATTCAGTTCTTTAGCTGGTTTCCACAGTAACAACATGTAGGAAGCGTTGTGTAGCCTTTAGCTTCTATACTGGAGATTTTGAAAGTCACAAGGAGGGTCCCACAGGCAGCCCTGGGCATTACTGCACCAAGCTGACTGGAAGAGAGAAGGGTCTTTGGTGCCCTGGGAGCAACTGGTAACATTTGGAAATACCTTGAATACTCTAGAGTGACTTTCCCATTTTCCTTTTCAAACATGAGTTATAGGCTCCAGTGAAGCCACTCTCAAAGTGTGGTCCCAGAGCAACAGCAATGCCCAGGGACTTGTGAGAAATGCAGAGGTTCGGGCTCCACCCTACACCTCCTGAGTGAGAAACTGATTTTAACAAGCCTCCCAAGTGGCTCTGATGCATGCCTGTGCCTCACAAAATGCAGAAAGGACCTGAAGAATCTGCTTTTAATATTAACTAACCTATGCATCTGAATTGTCCCAAGATGACAGCTTTTGAGACTTGGGTATGTTCTTTAGAATGGATTATCTATATTCTATCACATGTCCAGTCTGCAGAACAAGGCCCAGGTTTCATTTGCTAGGCGCTAACATTCTATACAGTGGAAGTCAGGATCCTAAGAGATGGGAACACCCCTTGTCTCCAAGTGGAAAGGAAGCAGAAGGATGGAGCAAACAGATATGCATCCCAAATTTTGTCTCTCCAGGTTCAGGAAACACAAAGTATGTTACATAAAGATGTTCTAGTCACTTACTGAGCTGTGGCCTGGGGAGTGCCCTCAGGGGAAACGATTTTAAAACACGGATGTCACCGCCTGGATGGCGTGTTGAGCATTGACCTACAACCCAAGAAATGGTGGTTTGATTCCCAGTCAGGGCACATGCCGGGGTTGCAGGTTGGATGCCCAGTGGGGGAAGGGCAGGAGGCAGCCGATCAATGACTCTCTCTCATCATTGATGTTTCTATCTCTCTCTCTTCCTGTCTGAAATCAATAAAAATATTTTTTAAAAACATAAAATAAGACATGAGTGTCACCTTATGTGGTTCTTTTTTTAAAGATGGGGGTACACCTTCAGTTTCTATCTGGTTTTGGTTGCTTTCTGCTGCTTTCCAGTATTTGAAGGTTGTAAGTTTCCCGAAGTTTATCTGTGGACTATTTAGTCTGTTATAAGCCACTCTTGTTGTTTTTGAAGGCAGACTCCCACTCTAAGGTTGTATTCTCTTGTCCTTTCCTTGGTTTCTTTCAGCACATAATGGATGGATCCAAGGAGAATGTGGTCTTTGCTGGGTAGAGGGGTTAAGAATGTGGTTCAGACTTCCAGGTGAAATGAGGGAGNTGCTGACTTTCATTCTATGTAAAAGCTCAACTAATGTGTGTTTGGGGAAGTAAGGGAGAGGTATATGTCCTATTTGGGGCAAAACGGGGTGAGGCATGGAGAAGCCAATTTCAAAATGGCAGAGCAAGGACAGTAGCATGTGACCACCAGGACACACTGGTAGAACATGGACATGTGGTTTTGGAAATCCTAAAACTTATTATGGTAGGAGGACCCGGTAGAAAAGGGATAGACTTCAACTCTTTATTCACATATTAAAGGCATTTTCCCCAAAAAAACCCACAAAAGGTCTCAGAAAACTTGGCTACAGATAACTTTTATCAGCACGTGATGAATGAATCCAAGGAGAATGTGCACAGAGAAGACAAGAACAGGGTTCAAACATTCAGGGGAAATGACTGGAAGATGTCTTAGGGGTAGACCAAGCCAAGCTTGGAAATCATCTTGACATTCTACCAAAAAGTGAAATTCATCCCTGTGCTCTTAGAAGTATTAGTGGTATTTCCCAAGATAAAAGAAATTCCACTTCTGCACAAATATGAGAGAATAGAAAAGTTTTATTACAGCAAAAATAAGCAAACAATTCAAGTGGGTGGGGCAGCAGTGTGGGGATGACCCCCCAGCAGTAAGTAATCAAGGTGTGAGGTGATGGAGGTGCGGTGGCAACAGCTCGTTTCCCATGAAAAGGAGAGAACTAGTTCTTCAGCTAAGTGGTTATGTTGAGGTTGGTCAAGCACCTTCTACAGGAACATCTGAATATACCAAACATGGTTCTCTTGTCTGTTGAATCTCTGTTCCTGGCTCTTCCTGGCATTTCACTTAGTTGGGTTCTGAGAGATCTGTTTTCCAGACAATTCTTTGTTCTTCAGTGGGCAGATGACAGGGAACAATTTCAGTCCTTCCATAAAAATGTAATTCAATGAATTTGCGTTCATCCAGGAAGAATTCGGTAAGCCTCTCTAGCTATAGATTATCTAAGGCAAAGAACTGACTTCTCTGACCACATGGGTAAAATGAGCAGCATGGTCCTAAAGGCAACAATGAGGAGTAGAAGCCACAGGAGGAGCTTATCTGCCAATCTAGACAGAATCCAGAGGAGAAACAGGTACTGGGGAGACACAGAGAAAGCTTGGGGTCATGGTTCTTGGTTCCTGCATTCCTTTTCTCTGTGCGTCTGAGAAAGGGTTCAGAAGATAGGGAGCACCCATACTTTCTGCTTTGGACTTTGACAAATTGAGAATATCTCTCTCCCTAGTCAAATCAGTCAAAAGTCTACCAATTTCCAACAAGGAACTTTCCCTACACTTCCCAGTCCAAAAAGCCTGAGAGAAAAACAGAGAGCTCTGACTTTGGGGAATGAGTTGTATGCGGAAGAGACACCCAAAAGTATGTGGGAAATATAGACAGATTTTCATTAAGCTTAATCTTCCTTGAATAGAAACGAAAACACAAAGGACGCAATCTTCAATACACTCACAATTACGTCAATGATGCTACTCTGACTCTCAACTTCAGCTCTGGCATTTTGTTGCTTTGAAACATAGAGTTTCTCCCTTTCTGCCAATTCCCTCTCCATTTCTGCCCTTCTCTTTTCCTTCTCCAATTCGTCCTCTAGTTTCCTGATTTTCTCTTCATACTCCGCCCTTAACTTCCTCTGCGCTCTCTCCAGCTCTGCTCTGTATTGTTCTTGTATCACTTGGATCTGTTTCTGAATCTCCTCCTCAGCCCTTTGGTACATCTTATTAGTGTAGAATCCCCCCTGGTTCTCCTTCACCATGCACTGGACCAGGTCCAGCAGCCGTGCCCTCTGAGCCTCCTGCTCAGCCCCTGTCGCCTTATTGTTGAACACACAGTGGCGATTCCTGAACTTCTTCATCAGATCCTGAATGCCTCCTGGAGCTTCCTTTAAATAATCTTTGAACTCCATGTCTTCCAAGTCATCTTTCCGGGTGAATAAGAGAATCATGTATTTACTGGCTTTGGGTCCAAACATTGTCAGCATCTTCTCAACGGCCTTTTCTTCTTCCTTTGTGTACGGGCCCAGGGGAACCACCATGATCACAGCATGAGGCCCCGGGGAGGTCAGGATGATGCAATTAATAATCTCCTTTTCTGTGTCAGCATCCGGTGTCTCGGTGTCGAAAATGCCAGGTGTGTCCACTACGACAATTTCACTCCCATTCCACATGCTGCTCCCTTTCTCACAGACCTTGGTCACGGATTTTGCTGCAATGCTGGAATAAAACGCTTTCTTTCCAAGGATGCTGTTCCCTGTGGCACTTTTTCCTGCTCCAGTCTTACCCACTAAGACAAGCCTCAGTTGTGAATCTCTGGGGTCTCGGTTTCCAAGCCCTGGGACATCAATAAATAAAAGTCACAGAGTTAGGACTGACCTCCTACCTTTTCCTCTACAATGTGCCCACTCATCATTGCCCTTCTCTATTGCCCACTCGGGTCCTATCCCATAAGCAACCTCTCCACCCAGAGGAGGTCTGTAGAACCCCTGGGCTTGGCCTCCCTCCTGCAGGACTCAGGGAATGCTGGGCACTTCTCAGGAGTCCCTTGGTCTGCTCACTGTGATCTCTGGAAGCTAAGTGCTCTGAGATTAAGGTGCAAAATGGTCTAAGTGAAAACTCTGAGCCCCTGCTGGTGCCTGTTCCTCATAAGTTAATGAATAAAGTAACACAAAATCTCACTTTGGGGCATCACAGTGGAAGATCCCCTCCCTCCAGTTTATACTCAAAATGGGACTTTTCTTCTCATTTGGAAGCCAAGTCAGGGGGTGATTCTAGCCATCCCACCCTTGTAGGCGAGAAAAAGGCACTTGAGCAGAAAGACAAAGTGTTCCTTTAAATTTCACATACACGGTCATCACATCAGGGATTTTGACTCACAGGAAATAAAATGCCTTACTTTTAAAGTTACCACTTTAGTGTAGAAATCTGATGAAGCTAAAGAAGGATCTCTTATCCTTTGAGACCACATAGATGAACCTGGAGAATATTATGCTAAGTGAAATAAGCCAGACAGAGAAAAACAAGTCTCACATGATCTCACTTATATGTAGAATCTAAAGAACAAAATAGATCCGGTGACATAGAAGCATGGAACAGACTGACAGATCTCAGAGGGAAGGCGGGGGTTGGTGGGTGGGGAGAGATTAACCAAAGAATTTACATGCATATATGCATAACCCATGACACAGGCAATAGTGTGGTGAAGGCCTAGAGTGGGGGGAGGGGGTAAGGGGTAGAAGGGGTCAATGGGGAAAAAAGGGGGATATCTGTAATACTTTCAACAATAAAGATAATTTTTTAAAAATTAATATGTTGAGCCTGGCCGGGCGTGGCTCAACAGTTGAGCGTTGACCTAGGATCCAGGTGATCACGGTTCAATTCCGGGTCTGGGCACATGCCCGGGTTGCGGGCTAGGCAGCCGATCAATGACTCTCTTATCATTAATGTTTCTATCTCTCTCTCTCCCTCTCCTTTCCTCTCTCTGAAATCAATAAAGATATATATTTTTAAAAATTAATATGTTGAAAACTTAAACCAGAAAGTATTGACAGTTCTCTGGAGCTACTATAAAATCCCGTGATACATAAATAATAATAATAATAGTAACAACAAAAACTCATGCAGAGTAGCATCAGTAGAGTTACATTTTCTTAGTGTCCCTTGGTGTCCACTTCCTAGGACAATGGGAAGTTAAGAACAAAACAGCAGAGCCTATCACCTGACTGATGTTTCAAAGGTAACTGTGTCTTAAGTTAACACCAAATCATCTAAATAGCTCCTTCCCTGTTTCTATTCAGTAATTTTCTGCTTATCTCTTTAATGTGTCTATAAAGCTAAAGTCTTCAGGATTTGTGAGGTACAGACTGGGACCATGGAAGACAACTGACAACCGCATCTGAGAGCCTGTTTCTCCCAGAAGGAAGAGCCTGTCAGCACAGCCCTTGACAAAGACTGATTCCTGCAGGAGGAGTCCTGTATGACCACCATCTGTCTCTGCTTTCAGTCGATGCAAACACCACCACCCTGACAATACTGCAGACATGATTATAAACTCCATTTTATTATTCAGANATACTGCAGACATGATTATAAACTCCATTTTATTTTTCAGAGATATCATCACCATTCTCCCTTGATTCCTGTCTTCCCCTTACTTTCCAGGTCCCACCCATTGGCAAGTTCTCCTGGCTCCATCCACAAATCTGACTAGTTCTCTCCATTTAGTTCTCTCTCTACTAACCAAAGCTACTGTCACCACCCATGCCTCAGCAGTCCCCTAACTGGTCTTTTCATTTCCATTGTGCCCTCTTCTGTCTGTTCTGTAAATTGGAATGATTCTTTAGAAATATCAATCAAACAGAAGAGAGATTTTGCAGAACGTCCCACTCTGGCTTCCATAAAATCAGTAGTTATTCCCCATCTCCCACACACTTTATGGTGAAACTGTTGCTAATTCAGGGATGAGCAAAATCACCCCTAAGGCAGTTAGTTTCCCATGTTTGAGAAACAGAATCCTGAGGTGAGAGAAGTAAATTCCAGAAGCTGAGGGTATTTGCCATAGGATGGCTAAGATGAAGGGAAACTGTGGGTGGGAGTTCAGATTATTATTTATTTAGCATCACAAAGGAAGACTCCAACATAAGGAAATCCTGAGGGCACTAGTTGATCATTGAGAGAGGGAGTAGGAAAATCATGGGAGGTGAAATGAAAATTCACCAAAGGCCAGCTCCAACACTGCAACAATTCCCAATGCTAACAGAATACGCAAGTCTACTTGACAGATTGGAGATTTGGCCATCAATTCTTCCCATCTCTGTGCACATGCCTCTTTGGGATGTGGATCTGCACCTCCTCCCACAAGGTGCTAAGTTTGTTTCTCCGTGCCCTTGCATCTGGGTGGGCCCTGTGACTTGCTCTGGACAATAGGGCAGTGGAAGCATGATGCAAGTAGACTCTGAAAGTGCTCATGCTCTGTGTGGCTTGCTGTATTCTGCTCTTTGGAACCCTGCAACTGCTTTATGAAGAGGCTGGGACTAGCCTGCTTGATAGGGACACAAAGCCCTTTTATCCCTGTCACCCTGTCTTGCCCAAGAGCCTGCTAACTACCAGACATGGCCGTGGGGCTATCCAATTCAAAATTATCCTTTTGCTGCATCTTGAAAGTATCATGCTAAGCAAAATAAGTCAGATGAAGAAAGGACAAGAACCATATGATTTCACTCACATATGTGATATAAAATATAAATCAACCGGCAAACAAACAAAACAAACAAACAAAATCATCGTCACAGGCAAAAGTATGGTGGTTATCAAAGGGAAAGAAGAGTTGAGGGGAGGTCGAAGAGTGTAAAGGGGGTGAAATATATAGTGATGGAAGGAGACAAGGTTTTGGGTGGTGAGCATACAATGTTAATACACAGGTGATGTATTATAGAATTGTACACCTGAAACCTATATAAGTCTATTAACCAATGTCACCCCAGTAAATTTAATCTAAAAAAAACACAACATTATCCAGTTGTGTACTGAACCACCCACTTACCACATCTGTGCATGAGCAAATCTGGCTGAGAAAAGGCCAGATGGCCTAGACCCAAGAACTGCCCAGTGACCTACCAAATCCAGAGCCAAATAAATGGTTGAGGTGTTAGGCTACTAAATTGTGGTGTGGTGTGGTGGTCTAGTGTGGTACAAAACCAGCAAAAGTTCAACTGATATTGTAGATTCCTATAAATAAAATAGTAAAAGGATGGTTAAGTGAGAAACTGAGTGAGCCAGTCTGTTGACTTTGTTGGTCATAGTGAGGCCACCTGAACAGGGAAATGAGGGACTTGAGGGAAAGATCAATTCCTCTCATGTTCCTCCTTCCCAGTCCTCTCTCAGGCTCAATAGAGGTGCAGAGAAACAACCAGAGAGGCTCCAGCTGGCCCTTCTGCTGTGTCCACATTGTAGGGAGTAGGAAATCAGAAACCTCATCCGCCTGGGCTCAGTCAGGACACTTTAAGCTCTCTTCCCCTTAGAGGTTAGGCTATGTCAGGAAGCGACCGTGCAGAGGGTCTAGAGACAAGCAAGAGCAGAGTCAATGAAGAAAAAATCAGAAATGGGGTTGGAAATATTTTGTTGTTGCTCAGATGGGGGCTGGCAGACAGGACAGGAGAACCCCCTTCCAGGTCCCGTCCCTCCAGCCTGGCCTGGGGAGTCCAAGCCATCCTCTCACATTGGCTGATCTTGGCCTCACTGAAGTTCAAATGGGTGATGGGTAATTGAGCTGCCATCGTGGTTTGAATTCCTGTAGATAAGAAAGAGAATTCATTTTAGGAAAATGGAGAGTAACTGCAAACTGAAACCTCGTGCAACCAATAGTTCCTTCTTTTCCACAAACTTGTTACTTGACTTCACCTCCTTATTTCCCAACACTTCTTCTCAACTTCCCCATGGTCAGTTTCATTCTCACTTGTTGCTTTTCTCACACAAACATGAATGTTTCAAGCGATTCCTCAGCTCTGGTTCTGGGCGCCCTTCCCCCATCTATTCAGGGAATTCTAGCTTTGAATGCCATTTGCACATACTCAGTAGCCTAGACCATTCTCAGTGTTCTGAACTTTTATATCCCATTCAACGTCTTCACTGGGCAAGTTCATGAGCATCTCAAACAGAACTTGGTCAAAATGGAACCCTTTACCTTTTCCAGCTGCAGCACATCCTGCCACCAGATCACAGCAATGATTACGCCCCATTTCAATAGATGGCATTACCATTCAGCCAGTGGCTGCTGCAGACTCTTGGGGTCACTACATCACTCTTTCCTTACTTGCTCATCAGTCCACCCACCAAATCCTATGGATTCTACCTCGAAATCATGCAAAATTATCCATTCTCCTCAACTTCATGCTCATCCAAGCACTTTTACTTGTTTGCCATGTAACAGGCTCCTAAACTATCATCTCACCTCCAATCCCTTTTCTCCTCTGTAACCAGGTGGTTTTCTAAAACTAAAACTTGATATATATTTTTTTTCCTCTAAGGTTTCCCTCCCCAACACAATCACCATCAACAATACATATGAGCTGGGATCCACTTGCTATGTGCTCTAACCTCACTTGCGGAGGTTCCTACAGAACACACAGCACAATAAGAAGTTGTTTTTCTGCTCTTTTTACTCTTCCCCTTTAGACCATAAGCTTTGTGATGATGGTGGGACCATCTGTGTTTTGAATTTCCCTTATTGCCTGGAGACAAGCACAATGCTGGACAAAGAGTAGTTCTCAATAAATATTTGTTAAATAAATCAATGAAAAATCTTTCTGACTCTGAAATTTCTGTCCTGCCTACATCTGTGAAAAGATTATCCTTTCCTTTTTCATCAATGCTTAGAGTCATACAAATATGATATTACATTTTGAACACTTTTTTTCCCTATACATTTGGCAATGGGGAAAGCCATCTGAACAACTTGTATTGGAGCAGACTATGACTGCAACAGGCTAAAAATGCTAGTTGTTAAAGGCAGGCTCATCTCAGAGGAAGCCATCAAATACACACTTGAAACACTGTTAGAGAGACGGACACACTTTTTGAAAGAACAGGTATGTCTTTATCCCTTAAGGATAGGGAGTGGAAAACAGCTTCTTGTAAACTGGGAAGAGAAATCACAGAATGTTCCAAATGAGCTTTGGCTGCAAAGTTGATGTTGGTGATGGGTGTTCAGAGGAGAACACCCCGAGCTGTGCTTCTTACATTTCCTAGGGCCCTTCACCCACCAGCTGCCCTCAGAGCTAATTCTGCCCCCTTACCCAACTCTATCCCTGAAAACTTCAAGTTCATTTCTAAAGTCTATAAATGGTGAAAGGAATTATTTGTACAAATATCCTCTAATCAACAACTCCTGAAAGAGGCACTAATTTGTAGGGCTCAGCCTTTGCAACCAATTACAGTCTAAAATCAACAGAGACAAGAAACAGAAAGCAGTGACAAATCTATGCTGACAGCAAGTTTGCCAAAGGTTTAAAATACAGATCCAGGGGAGAGGTCCCCTCAGCGCCAAATCCCACATTTTCCTGCCTCTCCCCCTCAACACACACACAAACAAGCATACTTCTTTACCTGGAAAATCTGGGTCCTGTTCCCTTCTCTAAAGGGAGGCTTCTTTAAAGGCGAGGCTAAGGGAGGATATTGAGGGGAAGGAAGAAAGAGGAAGTGATGACGCATAAATCTGAAAATAAACACTGTCTTGAATGGGTTAATTATATAAGTAAATTCCACAAGCATCAGTGGACAAATACCAGCTGGCTGTCCTCTGAGTGAATTTATTCTTCCCAACCTAAAAGACAGGATAAAATTTACAGCCTTGACTACAGAATGAACTGCCGTTAAGTGCCGCTTATTGCCAACTGCCATGTCTGCTTCTGTGTTTGTCTGCTTGTACCTCCCTTAAGCTGTCAGGAAATAGCAAATTCAGAAGTGCAAAACAACCCCCTTTAAAAGCAAAGTGTAACTGATCTCCGAAAACTCCGGTTTGAAGGAGTGGGGATCAGTCGCCAGCCGGCTAATAAATTGCTCTCTATTTGACCTTAATTCGGCTCCAGTGGTCTTTCAGTTCTCTCGTGCCACAACAGGGAAGAGCTGTCCAAACTTGCTCATGTAAGAGACCTGCCCACCTTACCATCTGAAACAACTCTCTGCCTTTTGTTGACCTACTTCTGGGTTTGGTGGTGGTGGAAGCCACACTTGGTGCATATCTTGGCCCCTTCCACACACATCCAGGCCCAATAGAGGCAGCCACAGAATGTGGATCCCTTTGTAGCTCCAAACAAGTATCCCATGGTCGGTCACAGGCAGGTCCACAGTGCCTCCAAATAGGCCCCAGAACCAACACACCTGGTGGTGGGCTTCAGACTACATCAGAGCATGACCCAATTAGTTCCGCAAGCAGCACACACAAAAGGAGAACTCAGCAGACATCAGACATTGTTGGGGCAAATTCTGCTTCCTGGAGTCAGTCCCCTCTCAGCAGCTCATACACTGTGATTGAGGTTGATTCTCACAGTCAGCCAGCCTGAGGGTTAACCCTACCCATGGATGGGCCAACAACAATGAAGACTCAACTACAACAGGAGGGTTCACATATTCCACACATGAAATAATCCTGAAACACCTACCTCAGGTGATCAGGAAGACTGTGCCACTAAGCCCAAGAAGACATCTAATTTGTAAGGTCACCATACCAAGACTGGGAAACATAGCAGATCTACCTAATACACAGACTCAAATACAGAGGGGCAGCCAAAGTGGGGAGAAAAGAAGCATACCCTAAATGAGAGAACAGGAGAAATCTCCAGAAAAAATTAATTAATTAAGTGGAGGCAAGCAATCTACCAGATACAGAGTTCAAACAATGGTTATAAATATGCTCAAGAAACTTAGTGAGAACTTCAAAAAAGAGCTGGCAAGTATAAAAAATGACATAGAGCCCTGGCTGGTGCCACTCAGTAGTTACAGCATTGGTCCACACACTGAAGGGCCACGGGTTCAATTACTGGTCAAAGGCATATACCTGGGTAGCAGGTTCAATCCTCAGTCCCAGTTGGGACATGTGCAGTAAGCAACCAATCAATGTGTTTCTCTTCCATCAATTTCTCTCTCTCTCTCTCTCTCTCTCTCCACCCCTCCCTCCCTTCCACTCTATCTAGAAGATCAATGGAAAAAGTATCCTCCAGTGAGTATTAACTAAAAGGAAAAAAAAAAAGAAATGACATAGAAACCATAAAAGAGAACCAGTCAGAAATAAAGAATACAATATCTAAAATGAAGGATACACTAGAAGGAATCAACTGCAGATTAGGTGAAGCAGAGAATCAGGTCAGTGATTTAGAAGACAAGGTTGCAGGAAACACTAAATCAGAACAACAACAAAAAAAGAATTTTAAAAAACTACAATAGTTTAAGGAACCTATGGGACTACATGAAGCATAACAACATTCATATTGTAGGGGCACTAGAAGGAGAAAGGAGAGAGCAAGAGATTGAGGACCTATTTGAAAAAATAATGACTGAAAACTTCCCTAACCTGGTGAAGGAAAAGACACACAAGTCTAGGAAGTGCAGAGAGTCCCAAACAAGATGGACCCCAAGAGGTCCACAGCAACACACATCATCATTAAAATGGCAAAGGCCAGGAACAAAGAGAATCTTAAAAGCAGCAAGAGAAACATGGTTAGTTACCTATAAGGGAGCTTCTGTAACTCTGTCAGCTGATTTCTCAATAGAAACTCTTCAGACCAGCAGAGATTGGCATAAAATATTCATATTCATGAAAAGCAAGGACCTACAACCCAGATTATTCTACCCAGCAAGGCTATCATGTAAAGTTGAAAGAAAGATAAAGAACTTCCCAGACAAGGAAAAGCTAAAGGAATTCATCACCACCAAACCAGTATGACAAGAAATGTGAAAGGAACTTCTTTAAGAAGAAAGAATAAAAAGGGAGGAACACAGTTATAAATCTCAAAATGGCAATAAATATGTACTTATCAATAACCAATTTAAATGTAAGTGGATTAAATGCTCCAATCAAGAGACATAGGCTAGCCCTAGCCAGTTTGTTTCAGTGGTTAGAGAGTCAACCCTCAGACTGAAGGGTCTCAGGTTCGATTCTGGTCAAGAGCACATATCTGGGTTGCAGGTTCAATCCCCAGCCATGGTCAGGCGAGTGTGGGAAGAAACCAATGAATGTGTGGAGTCTAATGAACAAAATAAACCCATGAACAAAATAGATCCAGAGACATAGAAGCATGGAACAGACTGAGGAATCTCAGAGGGAAGGGGGGTGGGGTGGGAAGAGGTTAACCTAAGAACTTATATGCATATGCGCATAACCCATGGACACAGACAATAGTGGGGTGAAGGCCTAGGGGAAGAGATACAGTGTGGAGGGGATCAATGGGGGGAAGAGAGGGACATTTTTAATACTTTCAACATTAAGATAAAAAATTTTTAATTCAATTAATGTGAAATGCCACATAAACAAAATGAAGGGAAAAAAATTATTGATCACATTTATAGAGGCAAAAAAAGCACTTGACAAGACTCAGTACTCATTTATGATAAAAACTCTCAGCAAAGTGGGGATAGAGAGAACATACCTCAAAGTAATTAAGGCCATATATGATAAACCCACAGCTAACATCATACTCAATGGGGAAAACTTTTAAATGTTTTCCTTAAGATCAAGGATCTTAAGGACAGGGATGTCCACTTTCACAACTATTATTCTACATAGTAATGGAGGTC